GACCTCTGGTGGTGTTAGTGGTCACGGCATTTGGCTGCTAACCAAAAGGACAGTGGTTTGAACCCACCAGCCCACTCTCCAGAAGATGACCCAGTTAACTTCTGTAAAGACTTACAGGCTTGGAAACCCAATGGGGGTCATTCTGAGTTGGAATCAACTCAATGACAGTGTGTTTGGTTTTGGTTTGGAACATACATTTCTACTTTTTCTGGTAACTTCCTGAATTTTCCCTACTTTCAGTCCAAGTGGTTCAAACAAGGCTGACACTCTCCACCCACCTTCAGACTCAAGTCAATGAAGGTCAGCCTTCGGGACACTTACAAAAATAGGGGGAAAGGATGCTCTTTTCTGAAAGGACGTAAAGCTGGTAGGAACCTAAGCTTGAAGCTGCTGGCAGCCAGTCTTCCACAAGGTGGAGAGAGCCTGCCCAAGAATGTGCCCTTGTGCCCTTTAGGCCCCTGGAGTTCCTGGTAATATGAGTTAATAATTCTCTTTGCAGTTTAAGTCAGTTTGAGCTGTAATTTCTCTTTTCAACTGACAGTTCTAATACATACAGCAAAACCCCCAAATGAGTGCCTGAATGTCACTGTCTTAGTTATCTGATGCTGGGGATAGTTTTAACAGGAAGAAACTTATTTTCTCACAGTTTAGGATACTAGAAGTTCAAATTCAGAACGCCAGCCCTTGTCTCTTTTCAGCTTCTTTTCCTTGGGGATTTTCACGTGGCACGGTATTTATTGTCTCCGATTATTTATTTATTTTTTTCCTTCTTACAGACTAGAAAACCATGTGGGTCAGTTCTCCTGTGTCACATGGGGTCACTATCTGCTCTTTTACATCTCCTAAGAGACCCTACACTAATACTGTCTCATTAACTTAACAAAGAAAACCTATTCCCAGATGGGGCTCTAACCACAAGTACTGGGGCTAGAATTTACAACACAAATTTTGGGGAGACACACTTCTATCCCAAACAGTCACCTATCTCTCCTCTCACCCCTACACCTCTCTGCACAAACAGACCCCTCTGTATCTCACTGTCATCACAGAATGCTACCTCCTTGCCCCATCTGAAATCCTAGGGACTCGGTTTCCCATGTGCCTGCAGGCAAAGGACCTACCTCTTTAGGGCAAGGTCCACTTCACTTTTTTTCTTCCTCTCTCTGGAGGTGAAAAAAAAAAAACCTTTTCTTGAAGACTTAAGGCACTGAGCTCAGTGCATTACGGATTACTTCATTCACTTACAACTTTTAACATCTAGTTCCCAGTCTCCCCTTCCAACCTTGCTCTGCGTCACTGTGGTGGGATTTCACCATTCCATTCAATAGTCTGTAAGCCCATCTCATATAGCATTTTCTATGTGCCACATAAGGAGCTCTGGTTGCTTAGTGGGTAAGGCACCTGGCTGCTAACCACAAGGTCAGCCGTTCAAACCAACTACTCCTCGGAAGGAAGATGAGGCAATCTACTTTCATAAAGACTGACAGCCTTGAAAACCCAATGGGGGTCGCCATGAGTCGGAATCCACTCATTTGCCAGGTACAATTCTAAGTATGTTACGTATATTTGAACTCTCTCAACCTTTACCATAGCACATTGTTGTTGTTAGGTGCCGGTGAGTCACATTCAACTCCTAGAGACCCCACAGGACAGAGGAGAAGTGGCCCCCGGGGTTTTCTAGGCAGTCATCTGTGAGGAGCTTGCCATGACTTTTTCCTGCAGAGCCACTAGGTGGGTTCAAACTGTCCATCTTTCAGTTAGCATTTAAGCACTTCACCATTATGCCACCAGGGCTCTTTTATCATAGCATGGGGTATTATTATGCCCATTTTACAGATGAGGAAACTGAAAGGCTATTTAGCATTAGTCGGAGCCAACTCGACGGCACCTAACATCACAGTTAGCCAGCTACTCAGTAGTACAGCGGGGACAAGAACCAGGTCGTCTAATTGCAGGATCTGAGCTCTTAATGCACACTTTAGCTTCCAGTTCCCTTGTCCTCTACGGTTGCAACACCCTCCACATCTTCTACTGGTTCTGTGGAGGCAGGAAAGAGTGGGCGCATCCTGCAACCGAGTCACCGGACATTTGCAAAGTCCTAGGAAAGGAGGAAATGCCAGCTGAGCATGGTCTGGGCAGCCCTTGGCCATCTGGCAGCTCACCTTCCTCACTTATATGTTGTCTTTTCCATGGCAACGCACCAGAAGCAGGGATGCAAGTTGAGCTTAAGGCACAACAGCAGAAAAGCTGCTCCCCCACCCTATATAAGGCCCCTTCTTTGTCCCAGTAAGAAGCTCTGGTGGCATGGTGCCTAAGGCATTTGACTGCTAACCAGAAGGGTGGCGCTTCAAACCCACCTGCCACTCCATGGAAAGAAGACTGGGCTATCTACTTCTGAAAAGATGTATCGCCTTGGAAACCCAAAGGGGGTCACTATGAGTTGGAAACACTCGATGGCAGTGAGTTTTGAGTTTCTTTGTCCCAGTAGTCCTTAATCTTTTGGGGAAGGTTGCTATATTCAAGAGAGACCATATTCCATCTGTCTAGACTGGGCAATCTACGTCCATAGAGATACCTTCTTGGAAACCCAAGAAGGGGTCACTATGAGTCTGAATCGATTTGATGGCAGTGAGTTTGGGTTGTTTATTTGTTTGTTTGTTTTTCCAGGGCTGTCCTTAAGGAACCCTTATGATGCAGTTAAGCGTTCAGCTGCTAACCAAGAGGTCGGTGGTTTGCACCCACCAGCTGCTCCACAGGAAGAAAATGTGGCTGTCAGCTTCCATAAATATTACAGCCTTGTGAACCACACAGGGCACTTATACTCTGTATTACAGAGTCACTATGAGTTGGAATCTGCTTGACTGCAATGGGTCAATGAGTGTAGGGCTGTCCTTAAAATGTGTCCTTTGTTTACATCCTTACTCAAGGCTTGCTTCTTCTCAGTCCTCTAGAAACTGCACAAAGGCTCAAAACCTCTGGTTTTCTTCCTTCCTCTTTTGCATGGGCAGGTGGTAGGGGCTCTCGGTGAAAGCCAGGGAGCAGTTCACCACTCCAGCCATTCACATCTCGATCGAGCTTTAGGCAGCGTGCTCTGCTCCTGAAGGGCTAACTCGGGTTTGCCATCTCCCTTCCGCCTCTCATTTCTCTCCAGCCAGCAGCTTCTCCATGTCCAGCTCCCCACAGGCCCTTCCCATGGTAGCTGATGTACTCACCTTCCACAATCCACCATCTTGCCAGAACCACCCCATAATGTGCATTCCTGAATCAACACAAACTGACTCCTCTGTGCCAGGCTTTTCACCACTGGTAGAAAAAACACAAAGGTGGGCAGTGGTGCTTCACAAATAGAAGGCTGCCAAGCTCATCCAGGCCCTCCATGCCATCAAGCAGGCCAAATTAATACCCACAAAAGCTATGTTGTTGTTAGCAGCAGTATAGTCAACCCCAGCGCACCACCCTACGCACGCAGACAACTGCTCCATAACGTTTTCAGGGCAGTGACCTTTCAGCAGCAGACTGCCAGGCTTGTCTTCCCAGGCACCTCTCGGTAGGTTGTAACCACCAACCTTTGGGCTGTTGTTGTTGTTAAGTGCCGTCCAGTAGGACCTGACTCATAGCGACCCCTCCTTAGTTTCCAAGGTGCTATCACTACACAAGTAGATTGCCCAACTTTCCTTCCGAGGAGTGGCTGGTGGGTTTGAACCGCCAGCCTTCTGGTTAGCAGTCAAATGCCTTCGGCACTACGCTAGTAGAGCTCCTAGCAGGCATTTAACCATCTGGGATACTCAGGAACTCCCACAAAAGCCAAAACTACTTGAGGGCTTACTATGTACCAAAACACTGATCTAACCACTTCAACCTATTGTCATTGAGGAGATTCCGACTCATAGCAACCCTGTAAGACAGAGTAGAATTGCCCCATAGGGTTTCCAAGGCTGTAAATCTTTACAGGTAGGTTTAAACCGACCACGTTTCGGTTAGCTGCCCAGTGCTTTAACCCAGTGCCACCAGAGCTCCCCCTAATCACTTTAAACCATCTTAATTAGCTCAAAACACCACCACCGTGAGAGAGCGACTACCGTTAATTCCCACTTTACAGAAGGGAAAACTGAAGTCAGGATGTTGCCAGGGCCACACAACGTAATCAAGTTGCAGAGCCCAGCTAGGCTGCACTTACATCCCGCACGCAGCTGCGTGCCAGCCAGCCAGCACCCACCCAACGCCCCTGCAGTCTCTACCGCACTACACCGCGGTGTTTAGTTCATCGCCCAAAGTCAAAGAGCAGGAAGGAGGGAAAAGAGGAGAACGGTCGCAGCAAATTCCGGAAAGGAGACGGGGGCGCAAGCACGAAGATACTTCCTGGTCATCGTTACTCAGCACTTTGGGGTTCGTCTGGCTGCGGGGTGGAGGCAAGGGCGTGCCAGGCGTTTTACAGGAATCCAGCCCTCCCTGCATGATCCCGGTACGCGTGATCCCGGTACTGCACGCTAGAGCCAGGGTGCGTTCGATTAAGGCCTGGCCGATCCCTTCCTCGGAAACCCAGGAGAGGCCCTGTGGCTCTGGGGGTGGCCGTCTGCCTCTCCGCCTCCCACCTTGTGGCGCACTGCATGCGCCCTCTAGGTGACTCAACGGCGCCCAGAGAACACCATCCCCAGGGCGAGGCGGGCGGGGTGGCGGGAACGGTCTCATGGCACGATTTCCCGGAGCTTCGCCCGGCGCCCACTGGCCCCGCCCCCCCGCGCTAGCGGCCCCGCCCCGACCTCGAGGCTCGGCGGCCCCCGAGAGGCGGAGCCTCGCTGGCGGAACCTTGCGGGGCGCGGGTGGCCTGGACGGGCGCGCTCCCGCCACACGCACGCCGCGCGCGCCCGCACGCCCGGCGCCCCGCCCTCGCTGCGCTATAAAGGCAAGGCGGGCTGCGCGCTCTCGGTCCGAGCTCTGTCCGGCGCTTCGGGTCCATTTCTTCTGCTTTTACGGTCGCTCGTCAGATCTCAACGACCAAAATGGTGAAGCAGATCGAAGGCAAGGTACGAGCTTCTGGAAAGTCCAGGGCGCGCTGCAGCCTCCGCAGCTGGGTTATAGGGGGTGGCCAGAGATGGGGAGGCAGCCCCTCCACATTTCTGGGGGAAGGGAAAGCGGCGGCTTGGCCTTAGGCTGCGAGAAGCCCAGGCCTGGGCGCGCCGGAGGCGACCGAGTATGCCCGGGGGAGGGGAAGAGAGGGACGAGGGCCCCCTGGAGGGCGAGGTCGGGGTGCTCGGTTCTGGCACTCCCTGTGCGCCTGGGTGATGCGCGGGCGCCGGGAGCGCCCGGGATTCCCACACTGCGCCTCCTGCACCCTCCCATCCAGCAGCCCCGATTGGGGTAAGGTGAGGGCATGAAGAGGTCTGAACTTGGACCTCATCTGTGTCCGAATTCGGCCTGGGGCCAGGAGATGGAGGGCCCCTTGGAGAAGCCTTGGAGTCGCTGGCGACCACTCCCACCCCCTGAGCGATTTGATCCACCCGCGTGGGGTGGGGTGGCTGCCGCGGCTGCCTCAGTCACCGCCCTGCCCCAAAGATGACGCGTGCTTTGCCCGCACGGAGGGGGTGGATCCGGGCTGCGATCCCTTAGGGCGCGCGGGCCAGGTCCGGAGGCCAGGGGCGGAGCGGTGGGCCCCAGGTGGCTGCTAGGAAGTGAGGGCCCGGCTGCTCCCACCTACTCCTCCTCCTGCCGCGCAGGGCGTGTTTCCGGCAACGCTGGCTTTGGAATGACTCAGTCCCCGAGGCCTGGGCCCTGGGGCCTTCTCTGCCCGTTTGTGCTTTTCCCACAGTCCATGGGTTTCACTGGAACCCAGATGCCTCATGGGACTTGGCGCGCCAGGTTACTGTGCTCGTCGGCCTTCGAGTACCCACACTCTACTTTGCTCCTTTTGAAAATGCCCCAAAGCAAAAATTGTTCACATATTGGTGTTACCTGACGGTGTGTGGTATTTTGTGGGCACTCAAAAGTGCATTTAAATGCAGAGTCAGAAAGTACATAGAAGAAAACTGATGCTGCCTGACCCTTGAAAGACCCCTGCACACAACCCCCACGCGGGAAGGGGTCCTGGCCGGATGAGTGCTATCGCATTTTAGTGTGGGCTTCGGAGACGGGAATCTCTGGACTAGCCCCCCGTTTCTTACTTTATAACCAGAAAACATACATGATCATTATAGGAAACTTGGGAGGGGGGAGGACTCCATTAAGATGTTTTTTTTTCCACTTGCAATTTAGCCCAAACATGTGCCATGTAATTAAAAGCTCTTTGCAAATCGTTTTCATGTCTGAAAACACTGATGGACGTTTAGGAAGGTTCAGTTAATTTTTTTTCATAAACCTTGTACAAAGAGCAGGTTGGTTTCTTAGAGCATGGAGTGCAGTTGTTGGGCAAAGGGTGTGAACGGTACACGTGGTCTGTGACAAGGCTCCTTTCACCTTCATCGCTGACTTTTTCACCTTCATTGCTGACTTTTTCACCTTCATTTTGGGCAGATTGGTGTTAAAGAAAAATGGTCTTACTCTAATTTCATTATCTTTGTTTATTAATGACTCTGAACTTTAACCGTATGAGCTTTTATATTTAAATTAGTGACTCACTCATATGTTGACAAGAGGGGTCCTTAATAGTGAGTTTTGTTCAGTGTCTACTGTGTGACAGATACTAGTCTATGCTTTGGAGGGAAGCTTCTGTTCTCAGGCTCTGGCAGCCTCATCAGTGGAACCCAACAGGTAACCCATTAAACAAGCCAGAAGTCTTTTGAGCGAGTGCACACTACAAACAAGTGATTTTGATTCCTAGAGCAAAGCTTTCAATCCTTCTCTCTTGGTAGTTGTCATAGTTAAGGCAATCCCTCCTCCTCAGTGTGATGTACAAGGATGAAGGGAAGTCATGACTCACAAAAGCACTTCAACCTGGAGACAATTAAATGACATTCACAGCCACTCAGGAAAAGTTAAAGTGTAATGTGAGTGCTGTTTATAAATATTGAATACTCCTTGGATTTTCATCCTGATGGAGTAGAGGTGGTGCCTTTGGGCATCCAGAGTAACTTTGTTTCATTGGCATTGTTGGTAGTTTAGGGCACTGGATGGGTTTCAGACAAGGATGGAATAAAGGGCTATAAAAGGTAGCGGGGAGCAAACTGACACACAACACAGCATTTGTAAAAAGAAAAAATTGCAGCTACCATCTGGTGAGAAATCCTGCTATCATCTACTAAGTTGGTTGGTTTTTAGTTAGATTATTTGACCAGCATTTTCCCTTTTAAAGAAAACCAAGACATTA